GCCTGAACTACAACAGGGAACTGCTGCTTTTTTCTTTCCTAATCATTACTATCGTCATTTCCCTCTACTTCTTTTGTATGTTTGTCACACTCTTGTGACCCGCTATTTCCGGGGTGCCTTGAAAGTCTAAACAGACTGTGCTGTTGATGCTAGAGAGGTGAGCAGAGTAAGCCCGATTCCCTGTAAAGACTTCTCTTTTGACATCCACCCCTTGGCGCTCATATTATGACCCTATGCAGTTGCGAGCGCGGTAGAGCCTCTACTAAATAATTTTTAAAAACCAACAACTCGTCTTTTCAATGTTGCTGCTCGCAGCCTTATTCTGTTCTTGGCGAAATGTGGTCGTCGTTTGCCTCTCGCCGAGAACTACAACAACTCGGTCTCCTCACAGCAGCAGCTGTTCTGCCCAGCATGTGTCGCATAGTTTATTTCGTGGCACGCTCCGCCTGTCCGGACAAGAAGAATTTATCTTGTAGTAGCGGAGATACGGTTAGCTGGGGCACCCTCGTCTCTTTTCTCGTCACGCCTTTTTTTTCTTGTCACGCCTTTTAACCCTATCCGTACGCCCCGGGGTCATTTTGTACCTCTGTGATTGTATCCTTTACATTTTAGAATACTTCAAGTACGAAGGTCTCTTTGAGACTTTCAGTATTTCTCCCAAAAAAATTATTTTGACAGACTGCTATGCAAAGCGTAGGGATCAGATTAACGAGTGAATTTCCTCTTTGGAAAGTGGTGGCACAGAGTTCCCCACGTAATATGGATACGATAGTAAAACATGACGAACGGATAGGGTTAATCTGTATGCAATGTGTAGGAGGATAGCTGTTGGGGGGGGGGGGGGGGGGGAGGGGCGGAAAGGGTAAAAAAATAAGTTGCCGGCGGTGATTTGAAGCACTGTAACCGTGTGTGTGTGAAAAAAAAGGGGGGGGTGGGGGGGGGTTTGGTGGGGGTTGTTTCTTTTTTTCATAAAAAAAATATCGGCTCCATCTCCCCCCCTTTTTTTGGGGTGGCCCTCCCCGGAAAAAAAAAACTCTCCCCCTTTAATGACACCATTGTGTTGGGGGGCGCCAAAAAACTTTATAAAAACAAAAAAGTTGTAGGAGGATAGATTTGGGTTTTTTTTTTGGGGGGGGGGGGATATTTTTTGTTGTTTGGGAGGGGAAAGACCGTAAACCCGGGGTGGGTAAAAAAAAAAATATAAGTTTGGGGGCTGTGGCGCCCTACCTTTTTAAAATGGCTTGGGGGGGGAATGACACCCTGTTGGAACAGCTTTTTGGTGGGTTTTAGACCCCCTTTTGGGCCCCACCCCCCCCCCAAAAAGGGCCGGGGGGGGGGGGGCGGGGGGGCGGGGGGAAAAATGGCGGGGGGGAGGGGGCATGGTTTTGTTGTAAGATGTTGATGAGTGAGCGCTTGTTTTTTCGTTTAGTGAGAGTTATATATTAATAAAAAATTTTTCGGGGGGGGGGTGGTATGTTGAGGATGGGGCTTCCAGTGGTAGAGGCCGGTTTGTTCGTTCATGTCGCTCCCGGAGCCGA